CTCTCTCTCTCTCTCTCTCTCTCTCTCTCTCTCTCTCTCTCTCTCTCTCTCTCTCTCTCTCTCTATCATTTAATACACACATAATTACAATCTCTTACATTTAGGTCCCGATAATATGTATTATTTTATCCGCGAAGACGCCTACTGTCGCCGACCGAGAGAGAGAGAGAGAGGTTTGGATACCTCTAAAGGCAGAAGTGATATCCGGAGGCAGTTTCATGCGATTATTCTTGACGGGCATCATATCATTGGTGAAGACAATATTGTTACCAACTTTGTTGAAGTAATACATCTAATAAAACACGTATACAAAGAGATGAGTTCATTATATGAAAACATTAAACAGTTTCACAATGAATGTCACACTTCTTTGCCTCGAAGTCGGATCAATTCAGGATTCGGTCCGTACGTGAGCTGAACCACGAAGCCATAGGTTCCGTCTTTGTTTGAGGGATAGTTTTTGTCCCGATCTGTGGGGTAGTCGACGATCGGAGGGGGCGTTGTGTTGACCAATTCGTGCGGATCGGGGGCGAAGTCCTCTTCGGTAGTCGATTCGGGCTTTGATTCCGTTGTAGGGCTGGGCTTTGGTTTGTCATCTGATTTTGTGTCATCTGATGATTGGTCATCGGGTTGTGGATCAGGTTTCGATGGTTTAGTTTCGGTTTTCTCCGGTTTGTACGGCGTCTCTATGAATACCCAAAATCACCGGTTTATTAAATGGACATAACTTTTGTTAAAACAATTATCGCATATACCCTACAAATAAACAAAAATAGTTATAATTAATAAGAATTAAATAAAAATTAATAAATCAATGAACAAAAAATTACTTCAAAATCGTTTTTCATTTTTGTCTCCTCGTGTCTCTAAAAATAAAAAACATATGCACTGTATGTTTGGTCTATCAATGAATGCCATCGACAGACTGTTCACATATTATCACAGATATTGGGAACAAAGAAGTGAAAGATAGGACCTGTTTTGCGGCGATGAGAACAAATCATTTAATATGTCATCTCATATGGCATTCAGACAATTACCTGATACTCGGCGATCAGTTCATAAGAGCGGCCGCCATCGTAGGACTTATTCTTCCACACCATCATATAAACAGATCCGTCGCCCACCACCTGAAGTGTCTTATCGTCCGGATCTGTATCCATAGCGGTGTCCACATTGGTCTTCATCTCAGTCTCATCGGCCCCTCTCTTAACCCTAGTATTGGTCCCGATATCTGCGGTAATAGCGAACCAAACCCTACTTACTCTCCTCCTGTCATCTTTGCTGAACCCAAACTTGTACTGACGCCTCAGGTTCTCCAAGAACGAGACCGAGCCGTCAAACATTGTCATAAGTATACCCTTATCTTCGCCATCACTGAAGGACCTCTTCTTAATGGGTCCTCCGGGGGGTCCGGCCTTCTTGGGCTTTGGTGTCGGCTTCTGGCCATCGGTTAACTGCAGGCATAATATCGTTAAAACCAATGCATATATGAGTGAGAATCGCATGTCTTGTTTTCAAACACTGTTTTATATTATGACTTCCATCGAGAAGTTAATTATGTTTTCATTCATCAGTAATTTAATACCACTTTATATTTCTGTAATTAAGTTTTTTGTGTAAATTTTAAATTGGCTCTAGATTTAAATTATTGCAAATATTTATATTACATTTAATCGTAGTTGTATAATTTTGTGAGTTTAATTTTAATTAGTGCAATTAATTTAATTAATGTAATTCATTTAATATAATTAAATGAATGTTTTCTCACACGGTTTAGTTATAAACTTACTAAAACTAAAACTTTTAAATTATTTATAAAGCACAATATAATTAGTAAAGACAACAATTGTATTTATTACCATGAATAAAACTTCGGAAAAAACCATCATGATCTAGAGTTGCCTCTCGAGCCGCAGATGAGGAGTTATTGCATTATAATTTATACTCATCTATACTATGATGAACGATGATTCATATATAAAGTAACATTAATATATGATCGGGGTACTATTTATATATTAATATTAAATACTAAAGGGTAGACTATAATTACAAAAAACGTAACAGTTATCATGAGTAANATGATGAACGATGATTCATATATAAAGTAACATTAATATATGATCGGGGTACTATTTATATATTAATATTAAATACTAAAGGGTAGACTATAATTACAAAAAACGTAACAGTTATCATGAGTAATGTGTAATAGATTACCAAGTTTAAAAAATAATCACGTCTACCTATTCGAGACTTTGGCAACCGCTGATCATGATTTACATTACACTTATGGGTTCAAAAAATATTTAAAAAGTGCGCTAAACCTTTAAACTCCTATTTTGGTGCCCAATAGATGTCAGTGTAATCTATGGACTCAATTCATAAGCCATTGAATCACATAAACATCGAAACACAGCCAATGCTGTGACGAATCGACGGGCTGTTCAAGCGATAGAGCGGCAAACGCGGGGCGCAACCAATCACAGCGCGCGTTACTAATAGGGGGCAGTGGGGGGAGTCATACGTACAGACAGCGGTGCGAACCATAAACGTAACGATAGGGCGACAGCCAATCAACGGTGCGCTTACAACACAGTGACACACAATGCCTGTACAGTGAGTGTGTTGTGCTCTCTCGACACTAGCGTTGGTTGAGTCGAGTGTTTCATAGCATTCACTGTTGGACTCACTGTATGTGTGGTGTATATAATGGCGTCGATTGTGAGACACAAACACAACACTAGTATTTGTGCGCCAAATGTGCGCTCATTTCACACAACACTTCATTAAACCACCACTTCTTCGGCAGTCATATCATTCATACCATACCATCCACTCATCCCATTGTCTCCCAGTGTCTGTGTGTGTCTCACAAACCCAACGCCAACCAAAGGCCACACTTGTGTTGACCATCACATCCGCCGCTTCCGATGTCACCGCCATTGATGCCATCGCAGGCCACGCGCTCGCCGTCACCGCCACCCACGACAACAATAACCGCAGCCATCGATGGCCATCACCTGCAGGACCAGACGCGCGAACCGCCGCCGCAACAGACGGTCGGGTGTCCGTCGGTGCCAATCGGGCTCCGGGTGTACGCCTCGTGCTCTCAGGGCGGCCGCAAGTATATGGAGGACAACTACGACCTCAAGTATCAGTTCAATGCGGACAACGAGTTGCAGTACATATATCTGGCCATCTTTGACGGTCACGGCGGCGATGTGGCCGCGAAGTACGCCAAACAGTGGTTGTGTCACAACATTATCCGTCAGCGAGGCTTCTGGTCGCGAGCGGACGATCAGATCCTGCGGGCCATTCATAAGGGATTCATTCAAACCCATTACGATATGCGCAAAGAAGTCTGTGAGTAGTCGTCACCAATCGGTTCCCACCCATCCGTACGGCCACTAGTGGTTGACAGTCACTGCCCCCTAAACACAGGCTTTTCGTACCGATAGTTATGGTCCGAAAGCCAAACCTCTTTGTGTTGTTGTGTTTTTTGGTTTAAAAACGTGTTTTTTGTAATGCTTTTAATTAATGACATATTTTTTATATTTGTTTTTGCCATTGATTTTATGATTTGTAATTATAATTAGCGTTTAGTTTAGCGTTAGTTATGGTTCGTATTGATCGCATGTTTACGTTAATTACGGGTTTAAATTGATGTGAAATTAAGGGCACGTTTTGTCATCACTTTGTAATTTGGCGCTCAGTTTCTGGTGTTTTATTTTGTTTTGATTTTGTATTTTTTTGGTTCATATTTATCATGTATTTGATGTTTAGCTCAAGAATTACGTTATAATCTTATAATGACTTAAATATACGCCACTCTTCGGCACACCATTTGTCGTTAATTTAGTTTTTAATATACAATTGAGAGCCAAATGGTATAGCGATTGGCCTTTTGTTTCACTCTATTTAATGCTTTGGATTTCATTCAAAGCGTGTTTTTATATTTTCTATGGCTTTGAAATGGTTTTTCGCCTTTCATTCAATCAATGAGTTTGGCTTTTGGTTTGGATTATTGAGAAAAAGTAATACATATTTAATAATAGCTATAAATATAGTGTTATTTAATACAAACTGTAGTATTGATTGAAAAGTTTTTTTTGTTCACTCACTCTTGCGTTGAGATATTTATAACAATTATGTAAGCATTAAGTGCTTTGCTTTTCATGTGTGCGTTAAGCCAATGGAGAGTACAGTCTGTATGAGAAGTTTGTTCGCAATTGTTTGCTATAAACGCATGCATTGAGTCTTTGAGTGAGTCTACAATAAAATAGTGTTTAGCGATGTTTAGAGAAAGACAATAAAGATTGAATTTTTCGTATCAAAGTCTGTTAACTGCCGTAAAGATAAGACTTATAGTTAACACAAATTGATTATTATATGATTTCTTGTGTATATATTATGTAATTCTTTGTCGTGTATTAGCGATGGAAAAGTCCATTGAGTAAATGCCTTATAAGTTGCCGTCACTATAGCAACGGCTTTAATTGGGTTCTGCACTGTTGTAATAGTGCTAATACTTCTCCTATGGTTAGGGTTTGGGAGACGAGAGAGAGAGAGAGTATGAGAGAGACTGAAGAGGGAGAGAGAGAGAGATAGGGATGAGTGCAACGAACCACCAATCGATTCACGCTGTCTCAGACCATAGGCTTAAGTCTACAGTATCTCCTTTGCTCTCTCAATCATTATTAACAATACAATCGCTTTAATGCTTTAATATTTAGTTTTTTCACTCATTTAATAAGAAATACTTTTATGTTTTTATTAATATATTGCAAATCAATCGATGAGGCAACTAGTTTGAGATGTACACACATTCCTCCCCCACCTCTTTTGCACCACAATATATGCCATAGATTTGAATGCATTTTACATTTGTCACTATTAATGAATGCAATGACAAATATTTGTATTATATAACACACAAAGTACCCCTCGTTTCCCCCCTAAGGATTATGCAGTATTGTGTTATCTCTGGTTTTTTGTTTAGTTTTTATTGTCGGAGAAAATAAGGGAAAAGAGGTTTTTGTAAATCATTTGTTTGATTGTATGACTAGTATTGCATTTAATTGTTTAAATCATGCAATACTGGTATGAAGTGGTGGTGTGTGTTGTCTTATGTCTTAAGCAATACCAGTCCTATCTCTCTATCCATTACTTTCCAAATTATTGACCCCATTATTGAACACGTTTTTCAAGTCTTTGCAAATTCTTGTGTAACTTCTCTTTTATTCCCCTTTCCTTCACTCCTTTCCATCCCTTTTCTCCCCCATTCTCTCTCTCTCTCTCTCTCTCTCTCTCTCTCTCTGGTTCAAACTAGGTACATTACTATTTGCGAAACATATTTATGTTACTTACGTCTTTTCCCAAGTAAACACAGCGTGAATCGATTGGTGGTTCGTTGCACTCATCCCTATCTCTCTCTCTCTCCCTCTTCAGTCTCTCTCATACTCTCTCTCTCTCTGGTTCTCCACTCGTTTTTATTGACAAAAACACTTCAATAACTATATTAACATATTTTGCAATACTTTTCGCTGTTTTGAATCACTTATCCATGCATTCAATTCTCAATACATTTTAAATGAATTTTTTATTTCAAACACAAAAGAAATTGTTTTCTTATTTTTATTTCATTCCGAAATTTCTTAGCGATGAATGGCTTTGAAAATTGAAAATGATTTTTACTTTAATGTGATATTAAAGTGAATATTTCTTTGATTATCATATTATATGTATTTTTCCCATTCAAACCATGTTTTATGAAAGACTCATAGATTTTATTTTAAGCTTTGAATCGTTTTGTTATAAAAATATATTTCTAGAGAAAGGAGTGTTAAAAATAAATTAGTTTTTAAATAGCGTTTCAGAAGTACTTAAACAGCGATTATATTTATATATTTTTTATATTTAAATGCATTATTATGTGAGAGAGAAATGTGTTTTGGATTCTAATCTAATGTAATCTAAAGTTTTTTAATTTCAAAATCGTTATAATCTTTTTGCCCAAAAATCTCCCTTTGAATGGTATTTGTCTTGAAATTCATTAATGCATTATAAGGATAGAAATGGCAAAACAAATGATCTATTAATAGCACATAAAATATAAGGCAATGAAATATATTATTTTTTATATTTGCACTTATAATCTGATAGTAAAACAGTTGGGATTTTAAAAAAAGTATTATAAAAAACAAGTTTTGAATAAAAAAATTAAATGTTTGCAGTAATACTCATTACATGGGATCTGATAATCAGATTTAACATTTATATGACATTTACATGCAATTAAACACCCATTTGAGTGACACTTTAGATATGTTTATGTGTTATGCAAGGGATTAATGAAGGATTTGTTGTTTGTTTTATTATCAGTGAATTGGCCGAAGACGGCATCAGGTCTTCCATCTACTTCTGGTACGACGGCGTCCATAGTGTTCATAATGAACGGCAAGTACTATACGGGACACGTCGGCGACTCGCGGATAGTGTTGGGCCGCAAACACGAGGCTTCAGGCAAATGGATGTCGTGTTCGCTGACCCGCGACCACAAACCGGAGTCGCCGCGCGAAAAGCGCCGCATAGAGGCCGCCGGCGGACAAGTGATGAACAAGTCTGGTGTGGATCGGGTCGTATGGAATAGGCCTAAGTTGGGCCATAAGGGACCCGTCAGACGCAGCACGAGCTTCGATCAAATACCCTTTCTGGCCGTCGCCCGGTCTTTAGGTACGGATCAGCTAATGAGTGACTCTTTGTTCATTGTTTAACGTTAATATGTTTTTGTGTTACTTCAGGCGATTTGTGGTCATTTAACTCCGAGAATAACACATTCATCGTAAGTCCCGAACCAGATCTCAAATGCATACCAATCGACGCCAACGATATGTGTTTAATGCTGGCCAGCGATGGCCTCTGGAATATGATGACCACTCAGACGGCCGTCAAAGTGTTGCAAGAGGTCGAAGAGGATCAGTACAGCCCCGAACTCTTGGAGGCTATCTTCGACGCGGGAACCGCTCGACTCAGTCCGTCGCGAGCGTTGGTCCACTTCTGTCTGAACCGATGGTATCAGTCGAGGTTTCGGGCGGACAACACAACGGTTGTGGCCGTTATGATCGAAGACAATCAGGGCGTGGAACTGATGCGAAACAATCAAAACCTGCCGATGAATGCGCTTTTCAGCGACAGCGAAGAGGACGAGAGCGACGACGGCTATGACGACAGTCTCGATGGCGTCGACTTCTTCAGCAACTTCTATAACACTAAGAATAATGAGAACAAAGAGTTGGACGACAAGAAGGCGGCCATCTCTTCGTCCGAAGTGTCGTCGACCACCGCAACAGGTATTCATCGATTAGATTCTGGTCTTAAATTATGTACAGATCTTATGATTTTGTTTTTCTTGTTTTATTAGCTGTGAATATGACGACAACCGTCTCAACGGTTCCGCAAACTATCGATTCTTCCAATTCAACCGAATTATCACAAAACTCATTGATTTGTCCACAAAATGGCGATTATAACGATGCGATCGTTTTGACGCCATTAGTGAATTCGCCGCCAAATTTACAGACAATTGATAACAATAATAGTGTATTAGAAAGCATTGAAAATGACTGCAATTCAAAAGGGGTGCAGACTTTACAGTCAGACATGAGTGCCGACAATGAGGTGACCGCCAAATCGGTGTCGGACAGTATCGACGACAACGACAACCAGAGTAACGAGTCATCGCGTGATAGCGGGACGGCATCGCCGCCGACGCCAACAGTGATCAGCGCTATGGAAGAGCTGTCCGAAGAGGAGTACGCGTCGCTGCCATCGCTGGTGAATCTGTCGCAGAACGAGTGGGAACTCCATGTTGTGATCGATCCGATGCATCTGAGTGTCAACTCTACCGACTTTAACACCGTATCGATCGGCGGCGAAGAGAACAGTTGCCTAATGGAGGGCCAGTCATCGTTGGCCAACCTGAACAAAGTGATCGAAGAGAACACATCACTCAACAACTATATCTATAGCAAAACGGGTTTCCTTCGCAACCATCATCACCACAACCATCACATCCCGAAGACATCGCACAGTATTATGAACGGATCCGATCTGTTGATGAACGCCACCGACAACTACTGGTCGGAGAGCGGCAGCGGTTATTACCATCAGTTAACGGCGTTGAAGCCGATGCGGACTTCGCTGCCGTTGAGTCTTGTGGACAATCACTCGCCGGTGTTGTCGGCGGCTAATGGCGCCGCCGCTAATGGCAACTATGGGTCGCCACTCATCTCATTGCACGACAAGAACTCGACAGTCATTGAAGCCAACAATCTATGCCTTTTCGGTGCTCTCAAGTCGTGTGCTATGAATCCCAATAGCAGTCCGAATGGGAACAATAGTAGTGACAATAGTCTTCAGAAGTTGTCTAAAGTATTCTCTCAAAGCAATAACAATACTAATAATTACGACGTGACGAGTGATGGAACCATTAGTGGTGACAATCGGCCCAAAAAGAGGTCAATCTTCAGACACAGTCGACTATTACGGCGGATAACTATGGATATGAACGGCGCGACCAAACATATGCGGACACCACTACTGGCCAAAAGCGGTGTCAAACGCAAGTACTCTCCGTCGTCGGCGTCGGACTACTCGCCGCCGTCTAAGCACTTGAGGTCTTCCCTCTGGACGCGACCGTTGGTCTCAAAGGAGCACTTAATGCGAATGAATTTCACACGAAGTCTCAAACAGTTGGCCGTCGGACGGCTCACCCGATCCCGACTCCGACCAATCAAACTGCTGAAGGCGTTCGCAAAGAAGTGATTTACCATTGATTACTGTCTACACAAATGACTACACAATTATCAATCGACAAATCACTTGTAATTCAAATGTAAATTATTTTCTCTATTAATTATAAGACACGAAGAAGTCGTTTACAAATATTTTATATTTAATTGTAATGTAATTATGAGTTTCGCCTCTAATTTATTGTATTATTATTTGAAACAAAAGCAATGAATTTTATGTTTAGATTGAATTCAGTTTTTGTTTGATTTTCACCCAAAAGTTTGGAGAAAATTATGTTTTAGTCTCAAAATTACTCGTTTTGATGAACGCTTTCAATACAATAGGAGTCGATATAAAACACAAACTGTTGTTAAAAACTGTTTGATTATTATATCGACGAAAAAAGTATAAAAAGTTTTATAGGAATTTACTAATGAAACAAATTTTAGATTCAATTAATTAACTCAATTAAAACTCTTTGTTTAACTTAATATTTATAATTCAATTATAAATTATTTTTAATTTTCATTAATATATCTGTGATTTGCATTCAAAATGAAACAATTTTTTCAATACATTGTACGAGAAATTCATCGCTTTATAAAACAACTCATTGTTTAGTCAACAAAACAATACATTAAAACTAACAAAACGGCAATTGATTTGCCGTTTTATACACATCTCTCTGTCATCACTACATAAACCATAACTTTAGACAACATTTATAGACAATTAATTTAATTTTTGAAACATTTTAGCGCTTTATTGCTATTATTTAATTATTGGCTGAGATTTGTATACATCTCTCTCTCCCTCTCTATTAACTTCTAATTTATTATTTTTTTTATACAATTATAATTAACAATAAGTTTGTAACAACTCTTTGTTCATATTCTCTAATCAATTGTATACTCAATAAGTTTTGTGTCACAAAAACAAATATAATTACTTCACATGAAAACAATGGTTTAATTTTGATTCTTCTCTTTATTTGTGTTAATATTACAAGAAATTTATATTAAAAAACAAAATGTGTCCCAAAATAATGACATTAAAGCCGATATCACATCAATAGAAAAGCGAGGCTTTAATGAAAAAACAAAACAATTGTATAAATATGTGAAATAATATGACATTTAATTCTCATCTATAAATTGTAATGAAATTAATATGTAATTCATATTACGATTAGATTATAATGAATATGAATAAAAAGCAAATAAATTTTTTAATACATTGAATACCAATTCATTTCAATACAAATAATTATATTTTTAATTAATTTGTTGAATCGCTTGAATTGATGCTAAGTTTGACTGCCATTTGGCTCTTAGAATGGCAAACGATATCAACAAATGGACAAATTGTCTGCAAATACATGTAATAATTACCAAAAGTGATGTCACCGTAAAACCTAATTTGGTTATCCATTATTATACTTTTAAATATTTGAATTCATGGCAAACAAATGCGATAATCACTTACTGTCGAGGAATATAATTTTGGTGATCAGAAGCGCTTCCAACGCAACGACAGTGAAATAGGCGTTCAAATTGTATGAGAAATTGTCGGCTTTGCGACCCATCGCCAGGTAATAGACGTCCCAATGGACTCGTATGGACACAATTATCACAGACACCGACTCGACGAACACGAAGACAGAGTTACCGTCGGGTGTCGTATGGATTCTTCGGCGCCAAAGGTATTGGTCCACAAAATTCATCAAAGATAACAATACTAACGGCAATGAGAGTAAACTCATGGCTAGAATTAACTTCTTTAAGATCATCAAAATCTCCACAAATGGTTTTGTCGGCAATTCTTGGAATTGTTTGTTTAGTTTTGGATCAATTGATTCGGCGGTAGTTTTAGTCATATTAACAAAACATGTAATGTTTATATTTAATTTATTAGAAAATTTGAATTGAAAGGAAAATACGTTAATTACAACAAATTTAAAAATGATTATTTATGGCAAAATATAATGAGTTAACTGAAAGATATGCAGATATACTGTACGTGTAGTAGTAGTGGCATAACAATTAATATCTGTATTCATTATTAACAACAATTGATAATCAAAACATAATTTATACGACAATTAATCAAATAAATATTTGAATTCATTTTACAATAACCACAATAAGGTTAACATATTTAAAAATAAATTGCAACAATTATTAACTGTTTATTATCCGTATTTTTTATTAGGATTACCCGACTTTAGTGATGGTCTGTGTCTTAGTGTCCAATAGACAGATATCGCCGGTCCTGAAGGCACGACACGCGCCCTCCACTGCTATCAGACTCGGGATCCCGTATTCGCGGGCAATGACTGCCCCGTGAGATATCGTTCCACCGATTTCTGTGATTATACCCGAAAGTAATGGGTTTAACAACAAAAATGTTGTAAATATTTATTTATTGCGTTAAAAAATTCATCATCTTTAAAGTATAATTTAATAATATTTTACAGATTGTGATTTGTTAAGATTTATAATAAAATTTTAATTTGTTAAATTTTTTACATAAATACATGAATTTTTTAAATAAAAATGTTTACAATTAAATTAGTGATCATTTTGTTTGCAAAAGACCGCAAATGAGTAGGAAATAGAGGATCCCTTGAACTAACAAATGGTAATAAAATTCAAAATCAATTAAAGTTATGTTAAGGACAGAAAACCCGATATATATTCGACTCGAATAGCGCTCAATAAATACCGAAAACTTCATCTTTTCTCTCAATGACTGAATTTGTTTGCCTTTCAATGAATTCATTGTTTTATTCATTTGTATTAATGTTGAATTTAATTTGACATAAATATGATTTGCCTGAAAATAACACAAAATACTTTTAATTTGTGATACAATAAAACTACAATTGTATATTGAATTGCAGTTATAAATACCTACCCTTTTGTGAAGTATAGCTGAAAAGAGTGATAATTGTGTAATCAATGCAAACATATTTAGATTTAAAAATATTGAGAATAATAATACGGTTGGAGTTATCGGTAGAAATAGAAAGACATAAAATTCAAACAAAAGTTGCGGAATATATGAAAAGAAACAAAATGTAATGTATTGACTCCAATACTTATTATAATTTAGTACATCTTTGTTCGTGTCGTCCAATTCAGTCATAATTATCATTAATTGTATTCTCACATCAATTATCATTGAATTGATTTCATGTGACAATTTTTTTGATGAAATAATTTTATAGTTTTGGTTCAATACTTTCAAACGGGCGTCGATTCGCTCGTACCTGAGCTTCAGGTAAAAGCAGACAATATCGAGAGATCCGGGAAGAAGACCCATATTTGAACATATAGCAAATGACCATGTAGCTTCATAAAGTGACCATGGTACTCCAAACACCACCAAATCAAACCATGTCTCGCAATTCAATAAGAAAGACACGAATACGCAAATAGAGTACGGAAAGAGTACACTCACTGTTGATATTATACCCATTTTGTATGTGGTCTTCATTTTGTGTCTCAATCGCCGGATATGTGTTGTGTCACTAATCTTCGCCTCTTCAGCGGTGATGAGTCCCTGCATATACTTGAAGGGCAAACACCATGTCTTCAGACGGTGATCGGCAAACATATTGACCGAACAATAGGCGGGAACGAGAATAACGGCCGCTAAGAACACGACCTGATGTGCGATATAAGGCTCGCCCCACCAGATCTTGAAGTCACCCAAATATAGGAAAACTACCGATCCTTTAGTGAGAAAGCACTCGACAACTGTTCGCAACACATTTGACAACAGGAATGTCAATGCAATCCAATTATATCTCTTGAACCACGATTTGGTCGTCGGATTCACATCATAACTGATAACACCATCAAAAAGGGAACAGACTTTAAACGCCAGATCATAATTAAGCCTCTCTTCCGGAGGCAATTGTCGGTTCAAAGCAATCGTTTCATTCAATTTGTGCTCTTCTGAAGACATTTCGGTGTGAATTACTTGAAGAATATTCTGGATATAAACTCGTGTCTAATTTATTATAAAATCAATTTAGTTGCACACAAATAATTTTTATGTTTATGAAATAAAACTACAGATTGTTGTATTGTTTTATCTCTAATTAGTTTGAATTAAAGATATTAATCATATAAATATTGTAATTACTACTGTATATTGTTTAGTCCTAAAATATACATAACTAAATAGTATTAATTCAGTACAAGTACTAATTCAAACAGTATTTAACGCACTTAACAGTACGCAAAGACTGAGAAATTTTAGTAATCAATGATTATAAATCATTAGAAAATTGTATTGTACTTAAACATTAATAAAACAAAAATAATTTTTATTGTCATGTGTCTTATGCTTGAATATAATATTTTATGCCTTACATTTTTAAATCATGTTAATTATCATAAATATCTATAATTACAAGTTTACAATAGCTATGCTCTATAAACACAGGATATTCTTCAAATAATAAATGCATTAATAAAGTATTTAATGCAAAATTGCATTATTTTTAGGCCAAAATCTTAAAAATATTTCGTGACTATAGAATATTCTTTCAAAATTGTTGCAAATTTATTACAAATGATATATTCTTTAAAGAAATTATTGTTTGTAATAATTATTTTAATTACTTTGATAATTATTGCGCTTTTAATATTAAGTATTATAAAGCTTTATATTATGCTTTATTAAGTCTCTTTATTTTTATAAATAATTCACAACTAAAAATAAATAAACAAAAATTTATAAGTAGTGAATATTTAATATATTTATTTATTGCTTTAGAAAATTCATTCTCTTTAAAATTAAATTTACTAATGTTTTACAGATTATGATTTGTTGAGATTTTAAATATAATTTTAATTCGTTAAATTTTATACGTGCATTTATTTTAATAAAAATGTATTCAATTTATGATCATTTTGTTCGCAAAAGACCACAAATGAGTAGGAAATAGAGGACCCCTTGGATTACCAAATGGTAATAAAATTCAAAATCAATTAAAGTTATGTTAAGGACTGAAAACCCAATATATATTCGACTCGAATAGCGCTCAATAAATGCCGAAAACTTCATCTTTTCTCTCAATGACTGAATTTGTTTGCCTTTCAATGAATTCATTGTTTCATTCATTTGTATTAATGTTGAATTCAATTTCACATAAACTCTATTTACCTAAAAATAACACA